AGAAGCTGGCAAGCAGAGCAACTAAGAATACAATAAATTCTCCTGATTCAAGCCTCACTTTTTATCAAGTTACACTGCAGGCTCTTAGTTCTATACTAATATACAACAGCACAGTCTGACATTTGCACATACCTGCACATAGAAAATTACCCAGATCAACAAAGAACTTACGAGTAAAAACAGTTTTGTTTATAAAGCTGCATCCACACAAATTATTAGTTTCAGGCACACAGAATACCTGTGTTCTGAATTAAACAGTACTCCACAAAAGGTGTATCCTCACAAAAGCAATAACCAGATCAAAACCAATCAGTCATAGGACACCAGGTTGGAAGGGATCTCAAGGAAAATATGGTCCAACCTTTCCCAGCAAAAACACAGTCTAGACAAGGTAGCCCAACACTCTGTTCAGGCAAGACTTAAAATTTTGAGTCCAGCATTGGGGAACCCACCATTTCCTCAAGAAGATTATTCCAATGGCTGACTGTCCTAATTGCGAAGAATTTTCCATTTGTGTCCAATCAGAATCCTCCCCAGGTGTAATTTGTACCTCTCATCCCTCATCTTTCCATGGGATTCCTAGTAAAAAGGGAGTCTCCTTCTTCTCTTCAAATACCTTTTAAATACAGGAACATAGTGATAGGATGGCCCAGGAGACCTTTTCTCAAGGTTAAACACATCCAGCTCTCTCAGCCCTCCCATGTGAAAGGTTTCCCAGTCCTCCAGTTATCTTTGTGGCCCTTCTCTTGATCCTCTCCAGCTGTCCACATCATTTTCTGTATAGAAGGGACCAAATTATTACAGGATGGATGCAGTATTTTTTATTACTATTAATTTATATTTGATGCCTTGTTGACTTGTCCATCAGTATTTTGTGCATCTTCTATTCCCCTTCCCATCCCACCCACAAGAAAGGGAGTATGAGAAGAATTTAAGCAAATTTTGAAAATGCAGCCAAGATACGTTTTCTACTTCAGAAACACAAAAGATGCCACTATGTAAAAGCTGACATCAGAGCTTTGTACACCACTCCTAACACAAGGCCCGGTATTTAAATGTGTCTGCTGCATCAGTAGCCTTTTGTCTCTCTGGGGAACAAAGATGCCAGCTGGCTGAGAGGGTACCTTACACACACATGAAACTTGCCACAACACAGGGCCAGGGTGACTGGTCTGTGAGGACACCTGAAGGACACAGTCGCCATAAGCTGCATCTATCTACCTATTCTGGAAGGCCACACAATGGAAATAGGTTTTCCTGACTCTCAAACAGCTCCATACATCTACTACATAGTGTTGAAACAGCCTTTGACTACAGAGTGAGAAGATGACCACTTCTTTTTCACCAAATAAAACTCTTCTGTCCTGGAACCCAAGGGCTGGGCTTGTAGTATGTCCCAGAACCAAGACATCTGTATCCAGGATATTTTAAAACTGATTAGCCAAGACCATAACAGTCCAAGGATCTGTCCAGTGTTTAGGTACTCTAAGTTACTGCAAGGTTTTTGTCAAACTGTAACATAAACAGTAACAATGAGCACAAACTCTCTCAAAAAAAAAAAAAAAAAAAAAAAAAAACCAAAACTGGGGAAAGCTAAAAAGCTAGAAAAAAAAAAAAAAAAAAAAAAAAAAAAAAAACTGGGGAAAGCTAAAAAGCTAATCTCCTCCACAGAAGCTGCAAATGGAAAGCAGAAGCTAAGTGGCCTTTCCACAGTGCCTTTGATTTAGCAACACAATATTTTGCAGTTACCAAACACAGAGCTCTCATAGGAAGCGCTTAAAACAGTTGATTGTGAAAGGAGAACGAGTTACAATAAGGAAGACAGTAATATCTATAGTGTGTAACTACAAAAGAACAGCCATGCCAGATCAGAACAAAGGATCGTCTAGGCCAGGACACTTTTCCTACAACAGTCAAAAGTGAACATCTTGGGAACAGCACAAAAATAGACAAGTAAACAGCAGCATTTCCCAAAACACCCTCCCAGTCTCCAGCGAACTGACACTTCAGACACTTTCTGTGCCCAAAATGGTGCCTTTATGCTTAAAAACCTTTTCTGTTCACTTGTCAAGTTCCCACTTAAATTTAGTTAAACTTCTACCATTTCTTGAAACAACACAGCTTGAATGTCAACGCTTATTTACATTTTGCATGAAGAACCTGCAGCTCTTGTACTGAAAATACAATGCAGAATGAATAAAAATAACTTACTGCATAAACATTGTTATTGCTACAAAAACAACTGAAAAGGGAGGAAGATAAAAAAAGGGGTTTATCACACAGAAGAGGCTTGTCTTCAAGATGATGGAATTTTAAAGCACCACAGGAATTTATTACCATAAATTTATAAACACAGTACTTGATTTAAAATCCAGCTGCCTTAAAGAAGCTCCAGAGGCTTACCACAGCCTTGAAATGCAGACCAGTCTAAAAATCAAGGTCGTATACATACACTTACTCCGAGCCAGTCTTGCAGGAATCTCACACATTTACAGGCAAACACTCTTCCCAGGCCACTTCCATAAGGCATGAAGAAGCAAGACAACACATCCTCAGTTAGTCATGATGCAGCTTCACCCTGCACACTCAAACTCATATCTATACAGAGCCATCAAGACAACAGCAGAAAAAACTCTGAGTCCAAACTTAAACTGCACGCACAGAAATTTAGGTCAAAACTCAACTCTGTTTTTATTCAGGTTACAACATGCCCACTGTGCAGCAGACAGCAAATCTCAGGTTTTGACAACCTTCCAGCACCATCCTACATTTCCTCCACAGTTTTTCATTCCTTTGGCTCACTCTCTACCCACTCATTCTATGCATCACTCTTCAAATACCGATCAGACATCTTGCTTAGGGAGAAACATATCAATCCTTTATTCCTCTGCTCTGCTGACACTACCATGCTCACGCCAAACAGCATTAATAAAGTGATGTCCCTCCAAGTGATTTTTTGGGGTCAAGAAGCTACCCCGCTCACACAAGCACAATGGCTGCTCTCCTGTGTGAGGACAGCAAAGAATGTCAGAGAAAGCTGCACAACTTGTCACTGACACTGCTTGCACCGTTTGTGGCAGAAGCGGGTAGGTGGGGAGGAGGGATCACACTACAGAAAAAGAAGAGATAGTCTCGTGATTTAGGCACTTTAATTATAACACAGAAAACTAAGCTCTATTCCTCTCTTCTACACAACGAAAAAGTCCCAAATCTTTTTCTTGTCTTAGCAGATGTCACACATTGTATGTACTTTACTCTTTGAACATTTATTTGGAAGTAAAATCAAAGAGAATCGTGTACTGAAAACAGACCTCTAGAAAAACTGCTATATATTCTGACAGAATGGAAATGGATATAGACATCTTGAACTGGGCACAGACAATTAGTGAGCAGCATTCACATTGCTCACAGACTTTGTGCCTCTGCCTATCAGCAGATCTCTAGTTTGGTATTCTGGGGGTTTTCTTTAGACCATGAAAGTTCACACTTGAGCAACTCTCATAGTAATAGAACAAAAATCATGAGAAAAAAACACCATTTTGAATAAAACTATTTGAAGCAAATCCCAAATTACATGGACTGACAGGAACCCTGAAGATCCACGCATTTAGTACAGCTAACAGTACTACAAAGCAAATAATAAGTCCATAAAAAGCACAGGTCCTCGAATCATGCAGTGACATACATCATCAGTACACGCATACTGATGGAATAATCTTCCTTCCCTCACTTCCAAGCAGCTACAAATCTGATTTTTAAATGCTAAGTGTTATAGGTTCTGTCTCAAAGTAGGTAGCTGTCTTATTTCTAATATGTCTCAAAGGAATAAAAAAAAGCCCAAACAATATCCATAGTCAACCAAGAAACCTTCATTTCTCTGTCTCTGGCAATCAGCAAACTGCTCATATTTGGAAGGTGAACTTGAACTCTCAACAGCAGGACCTACACAGCAATAAATTAATTAGCTCAGAGAGAGGGCCTACGTAGGCTACGGGGCATCCGGTACTATGTATGAGCACGTAATTCATGCTATGCCTAAGCATGCAACATTTTCAATTCAAATCCTCAGATTTTGGAAAGAAAAATTATTCATGACTTAGAATCCTGACTCACAATAAAATAAACCATGGTAAATCAATATTTAAACCAAATTATGCAAAACACTTTCAGACCAGGGAACAAATTTGAGAGAGACTCTTACATGTCATTCAGAAGTTATTCCTTCGGAGGTAAGGGCAAGAAAGTTTCTAATCAGATGTGGGAAATATTAGAGTAACAACACACAGATACCAATGACCTTAATGTTTTCCTAGCAGCAGTTTCCATTCAAACCAAGAAAAACGAGGTGTGTGGGGGGGAGGCTCAGACTGAGCCAGCTCAGCCGGCACAAAAACGCACTAGTTATTTCAAATATATAGCTACGACACAGAAGGAGCAAATTCCAACGTATAACAACAGCAGCTGACCAGCTCTCGGAATCAAACACAGGGGCCAAACACGATCCCCGAGCACCCACCACGGAGCAGCACCACAGCCATGGGCACTGCAGCATGCGCTGAAGGTCATCGTTTCCAGGCCCTGCTTGTACGGACTGGCTGCACGTATGCTTCCCCTACGCACCTCAAACTAACGGGGCCGAAAATCGCCCACTGAGCCGCGGCTGGCTTCAGGAATTAAAACACCGCGGAGAACTCCCGGCCGGGGGAGGGGGCCACCCGCTCCGCTCCGCTCCGCACGCCCGCAGCGACAGAGCGGCTGCCGGGCACGGATGGAGGGAGGCGGAGGCACGCAGGGACCCGCCGGGCGGAGGGACCTCGCTGGGCTCCACGCCAAGCACTGACAGCACGTTCCGTCTCCATCCCGCTCCTCTGCCCCCAGCCGAGCCAGGGCCCAGAGGCGCTTTTTCCCCTCGCCCTGTCCGCCCAGCCCCGGGAATCCTCCCTTGACACCCAGCCGGCCCGAGGTGCGTGTCCGTGCCTGCCCTTGGGGCAGCCGCTCACCTGCATCCCCGGCAGCCCCGCCTGCACGGGGGAGTGAGCCATGGCGGCGGCGGCGAGGGAGGCTGGGAGGCAGCCGGGTCTCCTCAGGCGGCTCCAGGGCACAGAGCTGAGCTCATCTCCACGCTCTCTCACACACAGCACCGCCGTCCACCTCCTCCTCCTCCTCTTCCTCCTCCTGGCCCTTCCCCCGGGCGAGCAGCGCCTGTGCGCCGGCGGTGGGAAAGGGGCCGTCCCAAGCCCGGGCTCTCCAGGCCCCCGTCACGGATGCAAAGGCGGCAGCGGCTTCCTCATCCCTCCTCCTCTTCTTCCTCCTCCTCCTCCGGGCCGTGCCGGCGACACGATGACAAACCTGAGGCGGGAGGAGGAGGCGAAGGAGGAGGGGGCGGAGCGGCCGCGGCGGCCCCGCCTGCCCTGCGCGGTACCTGCCCGCCCGCCGCCATGGGCGCGGCCGGCTCCCCTCACGGCGGGGCCCGGGCCCGGACAAGGCACCGGCACACCGGCGCTCCGCCGAAGGCTGCGGTGCCAGGAAGCGCTTGGCTTGCTGTCAGAAGCTGCAGGAGCCCCAGCCCAAAATGCCAGTCGTGCTTGTCCTGTAGTTGCTAAGCGGGAGCAGAGTGGGTCAGCACTGCGGTCGCTCCCACGCTGAAGTTCTGCGTACATGCAAATCCCTTGAGAACTCGACGATGTTCTATTCTTTGTTACAACTGGAATTTAGCAGCTCAGTCGCGCAGCTTCCCATGTGCTATGGGATACCCTAAGATTCTCTCCTTTTCCCCCAACACAAAAACCTAGGGAGTTTCATGAGTGTTAAAGTTTTTGAAACCTGTCAGTCCCAGTGGGGCTGGGATCCATAGGACAGCGAGGTTCACTGTCTTTTCAAACGATTTTTTAAAATTATACGAGCATCCACTACAGCATAAGTTGCTTTTCATTAGATAATTACTAAAGTTTGTACATATCTCTTAACTGCAAGAAACATTTGAAAATAGAAAATGGCCTTATTGAAATGCGGTTGGAACTTCCACTGAAGTTTTTTCTATAGTTATGATAGTCTTTGCCTTTGTTGTCTTATGTGGGCTGAGTTATGCTACCCAATCTGGCTTTCCTGAAACTTGGAGATACATAAATGTTCCTAAGATGTCTATGTCAGAGTATTATTCAAATAAAATTAGCCAACAGCCTTATGCAGGCAAATAAGTGTGCCCACACACAAGCACATTGGTTTTTTACCTGAGAAAATAAACTAAATATACCAGTACAGTGAAACAGGAAAGGATGATGGCTAGACATGAAAATTGAAATATTGAAATTCCTTTTTCAGTTGTTCATGAATGAGTTGAAAATTTCCTTAATGCTGGGATGGAGTTGAGATTCTGTGGGGTTTGGCTTCAGGAAATATGAACAAGTTTCTACTGTCTTCTGGTATGTAATTTTCAAATAAATGTAAAGTCTTTTCATTCAAATCAAAAATCGAATAACAGTTGCAAGAATCAATATCAAAACTCTATGTTTAGATTGTTTACTAAAGCATTTTTGCAATGTTCTTATTAAAAAAAGAAAAAAAAGGTTTTATATCTCCATGGTTGCTTCACTGTTTGCAGTAAGTTTTTCTGGCTAGCTGGGGAGAAAGTCAGTGGGCTACTTTTCCTTTGTCTCATGAATAGCACTGAGCTTTTTTACATCATATAATATTATAAATTCTCATTGAGAAAATGCCTTTATAGCCAATTACTATTGTTTATGCAGTTTTATTTTTGGGGGTTTTTTTTCTATATAGTCATTATGATACAGATTTTATCAGCTGCTTTACTTTTTCTGCAGTTGCACATTCAGTGTGAAGTCAAAATAAAGAAGGTACACGACTTTCCTCTTTTGTATTGAGAAAGGTACACAACTGTTATTTTCTGTCCATGAGTACATTATTTGGCACTTAATTAATTTTCACAAGGAATATATACTTGACTTGGTAGATTCTCTAGCTCAAGGCACATAAGGACAAAAAGTTCCCTTGCTGCTCTGAAGTGCTTTCCACCATGTAAGCTCCTGGCCTGGGGCCATCGTGAGGTCTTTCTGTTGTTTGTGTACCATGGTGGATTTATTTCATCTCAAGGTTTTGAAGTTCTGCATTATATGTTCAACAAGATTCTGTGCCTGAAAAATTATTGTTTGGGCCATGGAATAAACTCTGTGGGCAGATTTACTTCTCAAATGCAGGAAAACAAAGGAGCAGATTCAAAACTCTTCAGTGACAAACCAGATACCAGTCCAAGTGAAATTCTAATGGAGTCAGAACAATGTATTAGAAGGTCTAATATCTTGTCAGCTTCTAAATTTTGTACTGTATATCATGTTCTGATACACTTCCAATCCAGGACTTGTAGATATTTTTAAATAATAGTTTTGAATGTAATTTTAAAATAATGAATGTGTGTGTTTGCTCTTCATTTTGTAAATGCTAGTCTTTCCGTCTAAATTTCATCTCACATACTAAATAACAGAAGCCTTTCAAATTTTCCTCTCCTTTTCTCAACCTTTTGTGGTTTTTAATCTTTTCTGAGAGAAAAAAAAATTGTGTATTGTAGTCCAAAGAAAGGCTAGTCTTGCATAAACCTTTATTAAATAGAATGATTACATGTTTTGCTAGCCAACCATCCCAATACAATGACTGAGACTTCAAAAATAAACACTTCTTATCATTAAGAGAGTTCCCTGATGTATCTTTTTGAAGCCAGATCTTCCAAGCATTCCAAGATCCAATTTATTTTATTTTATGTTTCTACTTCTCAATAACTGGTTTGCTTTCAATTTAACATGATACTTTGCATATACAGAGATTTTCTGCCTTGCTGGTTATGTTTAAACCATAAATTATAACATTTCAGTCTCTAACAGTAAGATAAAAGTTACAAAAGAAAAATATAATGACATAATTGTAAAGGCTCTGACAAGCGACTGTGAACTTCTTCTTATAAATACCTCTGAAGAAAAAATGTTTTCTTTACTGACAAAAACTGAAACTTCTCAAATGAACAACGTAAGATCATTGGTGTTTACTACTATGAAAGGTGTACCACGAACCCAGCTCGTTTTAAATTTATAATAATAAAAGTGTGTCTCTTGCCTGTATCACAAAATGCACAGCAGCTTTAACAAGACTCTTCACAAATGGACCTTTAAGAATTTAAGTGTTCCAGGGGCAAGAGGGGAGGTCCTCACAGGGGTCTCTAACTGAAGATAGAGAGGAAAGAAAAAGACAAAAACCTTTCACAGAGGGGGGTGTTACCAGTAGGCTGCTGCAGGACCAATATGGGACCCATCTTGCTCAGTATATCCATGAATGAGCTAGGAAATAGAGTGAAGAAAATTGACAGTCTCATATTGCCAATCATCACGAGGGAGAAACTAAAAGCCCAAGGAGTTGAAGAAAAATCTCAGAGTGAGTGACTGCTGAGTGACATGCCAGCAGATGGGGGATCAGCACTGAAAATGGGCTCCTTCAGCAGAGTAGAAGAATGTCAGAGTGCTGTAAATATCCTCAGTGTGGCCCTGCAGAAAAGCAGCTTCCTGGTAAAACTTTATAAACATGAAATATCTAAAGATCTAAATCAGTGAATTAAACCCCATGATATAAGTACGTTCATTCCTGCACACTGAGTCATCCTGAGTGTGCTTCTCTTTTCAGATCAATGTCCAGTCCTTTCAGCTTTCCTTTCTGGGAGAATTGCTCAAACAGCAACTTAATCTCCCAGGAATGAGCCAAGGTACCAGAGAAGGGTAGGATGCAATTTTATTAAAAAAAAACCAAAACCCCAAAACAAAAAGTTTAATGATAAAAAGCACATTTCCCTGTAAATAACAAAAAATATCCCTGTGTTGTCCAGGACTGATGTTTTCCCTGCTTTTGGTTGTGTATGCCCCACAAGATTAGTTTCCAGTGTACTTCCAAACTAGGCAGCAATGATACACCTACAAAACCATTGGCGTTTTCTCTGTTTCCAACAAAAATTGTAACATTTCAGTTTTCAATTTCCATTGGAAAGGGTGTCCTGTCCCTTCTACAAAGTTCGTGATGGAGCCTTTCTTCTTCTCAAAATGCATGAGTAGCCCTGCAGCTGTGTATTTCTTCCAGCAGAGGAAGCTTGTGTAGTTCCTAAAGCACACAGCTTGCCTTCCACAGCTAGATTTGGCTGTGCATTTACGTTGTCAGAAAATGGTTTTGTCAAATACAAAAGTAGAGCTGGAAGTTCAAACAATGGAATTCTAATTTAGATCTTGTGAATGCTGAAGGGGAAAAGTTTGGTTATTAAATTATGTTCCCCAACGAAAAAGCCTTTTTTTTCTATGTTTGTATAAAACATGCCATTTTGTATATATTTTCCTTCCTGCAGTGATGTTATTCATATCACTTATAGAAAACGGCAGGTTTTTGAGATTCGTAATAGAAGAAAATTCACTTTCTTGTAGTACTGAGAATCATAATGGATTAGCCAGAATGAGGCAGGAAATGGAAGAAACATCTTGAGTGTTATATGCTGTTTATTAATAATGAGCAGAATATAAGTGCCTGAAAGTATTTTAGTATTCCAGGCAGACAATTAAAATTAGATGGAGACCTAGAGCTTATTAAGAAACATGAGATTGATTTTACTGTCCTATGCCTCTGCCCCTGCAGAGCATCATTGCATTATATCTTGCTTTTTATAAGCCTTTCTCTTAGCCCCTTGTCACACAAACCAAACATATGCAAATGGAACAAAACATACCTTCTCTATCTTCTTCTCACATTTCACATTTTATAATGGAAACATCAGTTCTTATCTCAGGTTAATGTCTGTGTAGACAGCAGACTAGCAAACTCTCTGGACTAAATGGATCCATTAAGGGTGGCCTTTAATGGTTTTAAACTAAAATAGACTCAATTTAGATTAGATAGAAGGAAGAAGTTTTTTACAAGGAGGGTGATAAAACACTGGAACAGGTTGTCCAGAGAGGTGGCAGATGGATGTCACATCCCTGCAAACATTAAAGGTCTGATTGGACTGTGCTCTGAGCATCCTGGTCTATTAGAAATGGTCCTATCCCCAACAGGGGGGTTGGACTAGATGACCTTTAAAGGTCCCTTCCACCCAAACTATTCTGTGATTCTGTGACCCTGTAATTATGCTGAGACAGGTGCCTTAGACAGTCCATGTCATCACAGATGTGAAATGTTTACTTCCAGGTTACAGTTGTCCCAGCAGAAAAAATTGCACTGTATCTCACTGATAACTGATAAGTAGCAGTCCTAAAACTGACTGCACTACTTCACTATTTTAATTCCAGGATT